CTGAGAAAGGTCTAAAATCACAGATTGCATGAAGATTTGAACATATTTCTGTTCCAGTTCTAAGGAACCCAGAAACACTTCACGCATGTCTATTTCAATTCAATTCAATTCAAAAATACTTTATTTGATCTCACATGTTATTTTGTTCTATCTGACTTTCATCGTTGGGTTTTCAGCGCAGGAAAATATGATTTTTGCAGCGGTTATACATCATTAACTGAACTGAAAGATATAAACTATATTTCATACAACTAGCTGGACTTGAACTACACTTTTACTGCTGAGCGCAGTGAGATTCTTGTTGCGAGTCAGTGCTGCACACAATCAACCTGAAAAAAACTAAAACTGTTTGAAACCTGTCGACGCCAGTTAACTACTAATCATCTGGAATAAAACGAGTGCATTAGTAACGATGTAAAGAGGTCAACATCATATCAGGCAATTCTACGGGCTGGGATTATTAATGTACACCTATTTAAACAGACTCAAACTGGAGAGCAGAACATTTGTAAAATAGTGTATCAATGCAGATAAACCCAGAGTTTTAAGTGAGATCAGTATAATGATTTGATTGTTTCTACCTGTTTTCTGATTTGCCATTTGTCTGCGCAGCGCAGCAGTGGCTGCAGCCTGCTGGGCAGAGATGGTGACAGGTATTGTTCTCTCTGCTGGTGGAGCTCCATGTTTTACCGTCTTTGTGGCAAGAGCTGTGCTTTCAGCCCCACTGAGGTTCATCTTGTTGGTTGGAACTAAAGTAATCATAAAAAAGTTGCAGTATTTAGGATATACACTCTTACTTAATAAAAATGAATTATTTGATGATTTCCATGTGAATAGTTACTTACCAGGGCTAGCAATAGGACTGAGTCCAAAGCCCACACCTGGTACTGGGTGAATCTTTGTGACTGAGGACAGAGGAGTGGACTGGATGGCTCCAAAGCCTGGTTGGATAGAGGGGGTCCTTACAACTGTGGGGTGGCGGGGGGTGGTTAATGCTGGAGCCAAGGCAGTCACAGATAAAGGATGTAGTGGCTGCAGTTCCTCCTCTTCCAGCTCCAAGTGAGGCGGGTGGGGCTCCAGAGACTGGGACAGGGAAGACGTCGAGCTCACATCATCCAGATCCTCGTAGTATTTAGGAGAAAGGAAGGCCGAACGAGACAAGTTGGCTGGAAAAGAGATTTATTTAGTTAATTGTAATGTTAAAATGTACTCTTAATAAATTCTGACAAGCTTTATTAACTAAAGACAAACTTGAACCTTTTGTGCAACCAGAAATTTTAGTTGTACCTGGTGCAGTTGAGCGCACAGGAGGCATCTGTCCCTTTGACAGGAAGTTGCGCAGCTGGGACTGTTTAGCTGGTGATACCTTGACAGCTGGAGGAACAACCAGTGTTAGCATCTTACTTTTTTTATTTTATTAAAAACAAGTCCAACAATAGATACCTGGAGATTTGGCTTTTGTTTTAGGAGGGGTATCATCCAGCCTGGCTTTCAGCAATGCACTCTTTAAACTCTCGAGCTCAGTTTCCAAACTGAAAGAACCGAAACAAAATGTTAACCATGACCAACTTTACCTAAAGAAAGTGAAGGAAATGGAAAACATTTACATTTTGTACAGGCTATAACAAAAAACGTGCAAGTTTTAAGACTTTTTACAGACCAGTAAATTTTACCTCCATCAATGATATAGGAGTTTTAGTTTACTGAAAAAAGGCATGAATTTTATACCAATTAGACCAGACCTTGTGTTTCTTTGAGGTACTCAGAGAGAAGTTAACATGCTGATCTCTAATAACGCCCTTTGACCTTTTCAGTACGATTGTCCCTTCATATTTTAGCTTATTTAAAGAAAATAAATTACAGAAAGTCTCCCCAAATCTGATCATTTGAGTTAAATCACCAAAATGTTCCATATATTACAGAAGTGAGTTTCCTCTTCTAACAATTTCTTTGTCAGTCCCTACCCAGCTGTGGTTGCAGTGGTAGCATCTTGTTTTTTTGAAGGCGTGGCCGTTTTGCTGTAGAGGCGCAGCGAGGTGAGATCTTGAACCAGATGATCCAGTGTGCTCTTCTGCTGGTTGATGATGTACAGGTTGTTGGACAGTGTAGTGAACAGACCCTCACGGCCGGGCACAACCATGTGTCTGTGAAGAACAGACGCATTTTGTTATTATTATTAACAAATTATACACACCAACCACTGAGATACCAAAACAGCTGTAATGATCATCAATGGTTTTAACTCACTTCTGTTTTTTCTTCTTCTCCAGATGTTTCTCCCATTCTACGTCCAATACGTCATTAACATCCTCTACAGCAAAAGTAACATATTGGTAGAGTCTACGAATCTCCTGAGTAAAGACAAAAACACAACAAAAGCAATAATTAATAACGTATTGGGAGTAAAAATGAAAGAGTGTGCAGGTGACGAGTACTTTTGGAAACGAGTCCAGTTGTTTTTCCACGTCTCACCTTGAGTTGTTCCTCACTGCGTGGATCCAGAGGCTTTTTGTACAGCAGCTGTCTGTAGTTTCTGTCTTTGCTCAGCTCACTCTGGGTCTTAGCATCTTCTGCACTAGCAAAGCCCTCCAGTAAAGTGGTCTTCAGTGTACCAATGTCCCCATGGAGAGACTTTGAATTGGGAGAAAATATATGTGGAGAACTTTCAACGATTTGCTCTACTGGAAGTTTCCGATTTGAGAATTTTATAAATCACAGTTAGTTAAAAACACTTTTGCAAAAACCCATTTGTGTATTTTTCTCTAAGAAAAAAAGATGGAACCCACGGTAGAGTAAATATCATCCCGTTATTGTAGAGTAACAACAAATTTGTTCTTCAGAAATCCTTGGATTCTGAATAAGAGTTGGGATTTGTCTGAAGAGTGTTTTTGTACACAGAGATCTTACCTCTGTAGTTTCTTTGATCTCCAAGGTGAAAATATGAAGCTCCTCCGACTCTTTTCTCAGCTCCTTCATCTCATCGTTGGTGCCAAGCTTAAAGTCAGCTTTTGCACTGCGAGCCTTCAGTTCGTCCAATTCCTTCTGGAAGTGCGCAATCTGAGGACAAGAGAGGCTTAGTTTCCACACAAACTGAGGACAGACTTTCCAAACATATTTTGGGTAATTAAAAATTGTATCTTAATGCAGTTTCTTATTAATTGAAGTATATTAGGATATTTGTCCATTTTAATAGACTATTAATTTAATAATCAGTATTTTTAGTGCCAGGCTAGACATTGATCATTTTTCATCCTATTACCGTATTTCCCGCCGTACACGTCGCACCAACCTATAAGTCGCATCAGTCCAAATATGTCTAATAACGTGGAAAATCCATAAATAAGTCGCTTCACCGTACAAGTCGCATCTATTACGCATCACCGCTGACGCGTCGTGTTTGTTACGTGTCACCGCTGACAACCCGGAAATGTGGACCAGTGTTGCGCCAAAAAAATCGATTGACTGTCAAATGGCGGCCGCGAGAGCGTGCACGGGAGGACTTTAACTTGAATTTAACAAGATCAACACTTAAAAACAATTATTTGTTTGCTCAAAATTATAGCAAAGATGTGTGTCAGTTTAACTTTTCCTTAATAAGTGCACTTTGATGGTCAAATCAGCTGAATTTCAAAAACGAATTTGTGGCCGCGGGAGCACTCAGAGGGACGAGTCGCTGTGCATTTCTTTAAAATTTAACAAGATAACCACCAAAAAACTATTATTTGTTTGCTCGACTTTATAGCAAAGGTGCATCTCAGTTGAACTTTTACTTAATAAATGCACTTTAATGGTCAAATTAACTGCATTTTGCCGGGGCAGTGCAGCGAAATGACACTGATTTGATGATTGCTCCTGGCGAGCTGGACGAAAGTGGCAGTCTATGGCAAGCCGATTGTCATTAATAGCACTTTTACCTATTACATGACACAATGGCATGCCATACTACTCGAGTGCCATCTAGCTGCTGAAAATGGTAGTGTTCAATATTTTCAGTCAGAATGAATGAAAACTGTCATATCTCAGCCAAAAATTGGTTTATAAATATGAGAAAACATCCATAAATAAGTTGTTAAGGCGTATAAGTCGCAGGGCATGGAAATTATGCAAAAAACGCAACTTACAGGCCGAAAAATACGGTACTCAACCGGTTCAATCTTAAGGAGTTAAACATTAGAAAACTTAAGATTTGTAAATATCTGTTCAGAATTTACTTATTTGTCTTACCTCCTCCAATATACCAGTCATAATGGGATCAGTCTCTCTCTTTTGTTGTAGCGGCTTCTCCGTACCCTTCATGCTAACAGCTGCCTGCATTCAGAAATGATAAACACTTGATATTCACAGCTAACAACAAACAAACAAACAAACAAATAAAGCAGTACAGTTTACAGTTTCAAATAAATAAATAACGAATAAATATAACATTTTGGACAACCAAAAAACCTGCACTTTTTTAACCTTTCTATATGAAGTTTTGGTTTCTCTTTCTTGCTATTGGTAACTACTAACAGTTTTGTAGCAACTGAGAATTTCCTATTTGTTGATTATTCTTTGCTTTCATCATTTCAGTGGACACCAAAGTAAACAGTCAAAATACCTAAAAAAGATCTGCTGAGAAATGTGCCTTTGGACAGCTTTACTGTTCAAAAATACAAAACCTGCAGCCAAAATAGGCAGACTGCAGCAATACAACAGTGACCCATGCGACAAAAGACTGATTAACGAACCAAAAACACTGTTTGGGATAGGAAAGAAAAGTTTTGCCATGGGAACTACGATGAGGTATGAATATGTTTTTTGTTAAAACATTAATAGCGAAAGACTCATCATCTTGTGTCTTTTTATTTAATCATTTTAGTCAAATTTTATTTGATCAAATACAATAATTTTGATCATATTTAAAATTTGTTAGATAAATGAACATTTATTTCAGAAGCTTTAAAACTTTAATTCCCAGGCAAGACATAAAGGTCTGTAGTGGACACAAGTCAATCAAACAATTTTTGTTATTTTAGTATTGCAAATAGTTTTTGTCCTTTCTCAGAATTTCAGCAAAACTTTTGATCAACTGACATAATTTGGGGCACGTTATGAAAATCACAAATAAACACAACCAAGAAATTCAATTAATGGATTTTTTTTAAACAACAAACAGAAAATACCTGTGGAGTTTGGACACGAGTTTGTGCAGCAGGAGCAGGTTTCTGCACAATATTGGTAGGTATGCTGGTCTGAACAGGGCGCACTGGGGCTAAAAAAAAAAGTTATTGTAACAGTAAGATAATGTCATGAGTACTGTCTTTCAGATTTTACCAACAACTTGACAAAAATAATAAATCAGAGTAACAAGTACATGAACTTTGGACTTCCTTACCTAATCCAGCTGGTAACTTGGCGGATGGGAGTGAAGCAGCGCTCACGCTGCTGGAACTGGAAATGGCAGGTTTGGGTAGGCTGGAACCAAATGAGAAAGCTGGTGCTGGAGTCTCCACTGGTGAAAACCTTAAGAAAGAGCAAAACGGTTCATAGTATCTGTATTTCACCTCCCATATCTCAATCCTAAATTTTGTACATCACAGTACCTCTCATTTAGGTTTAATTTGATAGTAGGTGGTGACGCAGTGGAAAAACCCTGAGGTGTTGAAGCTGGGGCTGCTGCTGGCAGGGGTTTGATGGAAGGGGTGCTGAGGGAAAATGCTGAGAGCGCGGAGGGAGTTTCAGAGGGAGGTTTGGAAGCGAACGAGAAGCTTGAGGGCCCAGAGCCAAAAGGCGCAGATCCCCCCAAGGAGAACGCTGAAGGGGCTGAAGGGGCCAAGGTGGTGGAGAAAGTGGTTGGAATTGAAAAGGAAAACCCCGACGAAGACGCAGGCGCTGTAGAAACAAAACTGAATGGGGCTGCAGGGGAGGAAGAGGCAGCAGGGGCTGACAGGCTAAAAGCAGTAGTAGAAGGAAATCCAAGGTTTGGGAATGATGCTGGAGCAGATGGAACGTAGGCAGCAGGTTTGGCTGGCTGGGTTGCCAAAGAACCTGCGAACAGAAAAAATACTTTCATTAAACCTCATCAAATGCTGAAGAAGTCATCTGGACAAGAAGATGGATTAGGCCTAGAATGTGGAACAGTTTGCTTTTACGCATTAAATACTGCAGCCATATTTATTTAAATGAGTTTGTAAAATGCTGTTGAGTTTCCTTGTAATTAGTTTGGATGAGTAAATAGATGGTTCAACAGATTGAACGGATAAGATTACCAGTACTTTCTTTTTTGTTCAAAACAAAACTACTGTAACAGGCCAAAAAACAATTCTGATCACATTTTTAAATTCAGTTTTATTAAAACCTCAATTTTTTTAGCATAATGAAAACTTGTGTAAAACAATATTAAGAATGGTAACTGTTGAAAACGTTTGGATAAGTTTAAGGAGGGAAATATACTCATTTATTTGACAAGTGGAAACCAAATAAAGGCACCAAAAATTTAAACTTAAAGTGTCCATTAGAGATGTATTTATGTTGTGACCATTTATTCTCATGCTTTCAAATGGCTTTGCACCAAGCAACATGACATCTTGGCAAACAAAAGATACTTCTTCTCACTTCATTACACATTAAAGCTTTTATTATGGGCATCAGATCAATTGGATTCATCAACAATATTTAGATTATTAATTTTTTTCACTTTTGGTTTATCTGATCAACACTTGAGGATAGAATGTGTAATTACAGGAAATTTCCAGTCATTATAGGTTACTAGTAAAGAAAATGAATTAGCCTTTTACAGAGTTTAGTACAAAAATAACCCAAATGTGAATAAAAATCAAATGAATAATTAGAATAGGTCATAAAGGGAGGCGATCCCTTTTTGCTACACTTCAGAAACTAGCGGGAACAATTACTAGGGGTGCACCGATTTATTGGCCCCGATTTCCTTAATTTTGGGAAATCGGCCGACATTTGCATGAGAAACCAATTTTACCAATTTTTTGTTGTTCGTTTTAACAACAATCGCCTGAACTTCATTTATATTTCAGAGCACTACATCATGGCCATTTAAAACAAGTTTGTATTGTTTCTAGGATGTTGTTCAAGGATATGTTTTTCAATAAAATAATATTGGAAAATTGACATTGTGACCTTATAACACCTGACAGTGTCGCTTATAAAACAAAATCGGTATCAGCCAAAATCGGAATTGGCAGGTCAAGCTTTTTGGAAATCGGTGATCGGCCAGAAAACTGCAATCTGTGCACACCTAACAATTACCAAATCAACAATGGCGTGTATAGCTTACTGGTCTTCTCACCTGGCTTTGGCACTCTCTCTCCTTCCAAGGCGAGGATAGTAGAGGGTGAGACCAGCTGTTTGACCCCAGGATTTAGGTTGAGAAGAGCAAATGGGCAGAGTAACCCCTCCGTAGACAGCATCAGCATGATGGGTGCTGGCGGCAATGTCTTCTCGTCAGCTTTGTGCAGGAAGAAAACATGGATGCATATTATTCCAATGAATTTATTTATTTATTTTAAACACAAACAATCCATTTTATTTATTTTACCTTACCATGATTTGCAACCTTGCATAAAGAGTCAAGGGGAATCTTTTAGATGTACGGTTAAAAAAATTATTAAAAAAATAAACAGTCTAAGATCGAATGAACAATGGATATGAATAAATTTGTCTGATCCTATGCTTAGTTCTATGCTTTAAACTAATACATATACACAGAAAGAAGAGCTAGTGTTATTTGTAGACCATGCTTGCTCATTAGAAAACAATGTATTTTTCCTTTTAAAGTAAAACAAACGGCAGAAAAAAATCGACACGCTGCATTTTAGTGGTGTATATCTCCTGACTTTGGCTCTTTTGGCCAAATGTTTAGTTACCAAAAAATAAACAATAAAAAAAAAAATCCATCTGAACTCTGCATTTATGTTTAAAACGGTCTTAAGATGCCTCATTTGGTAAAACACATCCCACTCCCTTCCTCTTCTTGCCAAACCCTCAAACCTTTTTCTGCTCCTCACACCCACTTTTCTGCACTTTCTAAAATCTTGCTGTGGGCTACAGTTCAAATGGCAAAAATCAAGTCTAAACCAACATTTACAGTGAAAAACAAAACTGTAGGATTTATAATCCATATTAAATATTCATTAGCTAGAGCTGATACTCATCTTCTCAGAAATATAAAAAAAGGAAAAAGAAATACTCTGGGGAAAACAGCAAATGCTGCTCTTTCTCAGTGCGGGGCTGTGGTTGGCTAATGGACACCATTTTAACCAACTTGCAGCTTACATTTAGATTCCAAGTGCAACAAACACTTCATATTTCAGCTTAACGTCACTCTGCAGACTTTCAAACCTATGCATACAGAACACACAGGAAAATGCTAATTTAGGAAATGGTGATTTAAAGTTCTTCAAAAATCAAAATATAAAAAGAATAAAAACAGACAACAAAAGTCCAAACGCTAGTGCTTTTAGCTATCAAAGTAAAGCCTGAAAATGTCCTGAGAAGAAAGGAGAGAGGACGAAAAAAGACAAAAGAAAATCAGAACACAGTAAATCTCATCAGCATTCTGCAACAGGATTGTCTGGGCTTTGTTGTTTGTTAGAGTCCTCTAGCTTGTCTGAGCAATTTTAATGAGTTCATTTAATTTCCTCCGCAGATAATTCTGTTGTTACTTCCCCCTTTGCCTACATAATGCCTCACTTTGGATCAAAGTTTTAATGAGACTACAGTCGTCTCATAATGTTTCTCAATGTGCCCCCCCCCCCCCCCCCCCCCCCCCCACCACGACAAAAGGGAGGGAGTTCTTGGAGAAAACAAGGAGATGTGATGAGACAGCAGCTCTACGTGAATGTCTGGCAGACTGGGCTGGTTAAGATGAAAACAGTGCACAGAGACAATAGCTTATCACTATTCTTTACACGTATGGCTATACAGCACTGCAGTGGAAGCTGCATGCACAGAGCATCCTGATGGATTCAGATTCATCTGATCAACAGATGAGGGTTCAAAAAATACTGAATATGAAGGGAGTAGATAATTTAAAGCAGGACAAGACAAAACAAGACGAAATTAAATATCCCAACTTTCAAGTAACTGCATTTTAATACTTAAACACCAGTAAAAGTCTGAAATTGTCTTTGAAATAGATACAATAGAAAATAAACATTCTTGACTTTGAAAAAATAAAAATGGAAAACAAAAAGACTAACGTAATACTGTCTAGCAAAAAAGCCACAGATCAAAATACAATTTTGAGGGCAGATAAGTTTCCATTTGAAATCCATGTGCCAATTGGCCTGTTTCACAAATAAAATGTATTTGCAACACTGAAGAAGATTTGACAAGGCTGGTGATAAAATTGTTTTATATAAAGTAAACGTTTGTCTGGTGGTATAAAACCCTCTTCTGCACATTTAATAACGTTTACCCTCTTAAGCCCCAAGGGGTTTCATTGAAGTCCCTGCTGGAAAATACCACGCCCAAATAAAATAAAGTGTTTTTCAGAAATTACATACAAACTTTAAACAGTCTTGGTATCAAAATAAAGATAACAATTGAGAGACTTCATCAGGAGTGTAAGCATCTCAGCAAATGCTACTTCTTCTTTCAGCTTTTCCCTCTTCAGGGGTCGCCACAGTGAGTCATCCTCCTCCATCTCACTCTGTCCTCTGTATTCTCCGTCCTCACTCCACCTCCATGTCCTCTCTAACTGCATCCATATGTCTCTCTGGCCTTCCTCTTTTTTTCCTGGCAGCTGCATTTCTAACATCCTTCTACCAATATACCCACTGTCCCTCCTCTGGACATGTCCAAACCATCTCAGTCTGGCCTCTAACTTTATCTCCCAGTTGTTCAACCTGTGCTGTACCTCTGATGATCTCATTCCTAATCTTCTCCATCCTTGTCACTCCTAAGGAAAACCTCAACATCTTTATTTCCACCACTTCCAGTTCTTTCTCTTTGTCTTTTTGTCAATGTCACTGTCTCCTTGTAGTCGAAATGCTGAACCAAACCAATTCTGGATTACCAAACAGACTTCCCTGAATTTGGATTATGCTAAAGCATAGGTAACTTCTGCTCAGTCAGGTGAAGAGAGCATGTAATCTGAAAGATGAGCACACTTACTGATGTGGATCTCCTGCTGGCTGGTGAAGTCTACAGCTAATCCAAGAGGCAGTGTGTCTTCACTTGTCTCAGTCACAGGAAGTTCTGCTCTACTTGCATCCTCAAGAAGCCAAAGTTCCCACACCTAAAAAAAAACCACAACATGGTCAACCAGGACAGTTGGCGTACACATATTACAGTCAGAGAATCAACTAAACCCTCAGCAACCAATTAGTAACACTACACATTTAAAACATTTTATACATTTGGCTTCTCAAGTTGGCCCAACTTCTTAAAAAAATTAAATTCAGTGTGATAACCAGTATTTTAAATTCACTTTTAAAAATCTTTCGAGTTAATTCTTATTTATAGAACAGATATAAAGCTGTATTTGACACTCAGTCCAATAAAACAGTTGAAAAAAAGTTATTCAGATGTTTTCTAATTGTAAGACACAACGGTTTAATAACCCCAAAGTTACACACCTTATCATCCTGTCGTGACATCACGTTGACCTCAATAGAAGCTGCTGATGCCACAAACAAAAGATCCCTTGAAAAAAGAATAAAGAAAACAAAAGCTTACTGTCAATTTTAAAATAAATTAAAATTACAAAAACAAAAACTTAAAAATAAAAACAGAATAAATTATACATTTCATTGTAAGGCTATAAACTGTGTTAATTTTTACCAGTCCTCTATGTGACTTAGGAAGTAGTGATGCTGTCGCTCCGCGTTGCTGTTAAACACACAGTCACCAAAACTGAGATACTTGGTCTCCACCTTTTCATCCTTTTTCTGTAAATATTAAATAACGTATATGGAATTAGCATTTGCACTTACTAATGCGGTTGATAAGACACAGGCAGGTTATAGAATAAAGTATACCACCACAAACAATGAATATAAATCAGATGGAGTGCTGGGCTAACATTTTAATTTTTCATACTGCAGCTAATTTAAAAAGAACAAGGACTATTTTTTTTAATGAAGCTGTACTGATAAAGATGGCATGTTCTTTGAAGTGGGTTTAGAGCTCATCATAGCACAGAAACTGCACTGGTGAAAGTTACTAATGGTATTCTCATGGCTTCAGACAAAGGACTTGTGTCTATACTGGTCCTGTTAGACCTCAGTGCTGCATTTGATACAGATGATCACAATATTTTACTACAGAGGCTTGAATATGATATTGGGATTACAGGACGGCTCTAAAATAGTTTAAATCATATTTATTTGATACAGTCCAGTTTGTAAATGTAAATAATGAATCTTATTTATACACAAACGTTAATCACGGAGTTCCTCAGGGTTCAGTACTTGGACTCCTTACTTTATACATGCATGAATTAGGTAACGTTATCAAACAGCATGGGATAAATTTTCATTGTTATGCTGATGACACTCATTTATATTTGACCATGTAACTCGATGAATCCAATCAATTACTTAGATTGCAAGCATATCTTAAAGACATACAAACCTACAGTATATGACTTAATTTTCTGCTTTTAAAGACAAAGGTTGTGGTTTTTGGACCTGAGCATTTTAGGAATAATCTTTGCAGCTTTTCACTTTCTCTGGATGGCATTAATCTGGCCTCCAGTTCTAATGTAAAAGACCTTGGTGTTATTTTTGATCAGGATATGCATTTTAACTCCCACATTAAAAAAAGTTACCAGGACCGCTATCCTCTACCTGCGTAATATCACTAAAATTAGAAACATCTCGTCCAAAAATGATGCAGAAAAACTAATCTTGTATTACCAATCTTATTGTTCCACACTTTTCTAACAGAGCACTTCGCTCTCAGACTGCAGGTTTACTTATGGTTCCTAGAGTATCCAAAAGTAGAATGGAAGGCAGAGCTGTCAGTTATCAGACTCTTCTCTTGTGGAACCAACTTCCAGTGTCTGTCTGTGAGGCTGACATCGTGTCTACTTTGAAAATAAGGCTTAAGTTTTTCCTTTTTGATAAATCCTATAGTTAGAGTGGGTTTGGGTTCCCTGTGCTATCCCTTAGTTATGCTTTTAAAGGCTTAGACTGCTGTAGGACAAATTGACCACATTTCTTCACTCCTGCTGTCTTTACTTGTTGTACTCCACCTGATCGTATTTGTATTATTTTTATCCTTCACATGTGTTTTTGTCTTTCCTCCAATAGAAAGTACACCTGGACCTGTCATTTTGTGTTCGTTTCTCCTTCCTGTCCCCACAAATCCCAGCCAGTTGAAGCAGCTGGCTGCTCGTCCGGAGCCTGGTTCTGCTGGAGGTTTCTTCCTGTTAAAAGGGAGTTTTTCCTTTCCACTGTTGCCAATATACTTGCTCAGAATGAGAGACTGTGACAAAATGTAGATTGAACATAATCTGCTGGCTTCCTTAGATAGATAACTTTTACTAATTGGCTTTTAAAACGTATGTGAATGTTTTTGTACAGTGTCCTGAGATGACTTCCGTTGTGACTTGGCGCTATATAAATAAACTGAATTGGTGACAATCTGATATGTGATAAGAGCTAAACAAACAATGCAGACTTGAATGGAAACAGTTGATAAAACCAGGTGCATATATATTACAGATTGTGAACGAAAGTAAATTTGTGAAACAATTTCTTCCAAGTGTTTTTTGATGAGACATGAAACATCAAACTCACGAGAAATAAACCAAAGGATGCCTGTAGTACTCACAGGTAAGGAAATTAACACTAATTCAGGAGGTCTCTCCAAACACCCGTCAGCAGCAGCATACGCCACAGCAAAAACATACGTTCTCAGCCACAACACATCCAGAGCTGGCAGAGACAAAGCAGATGTCAGTCACAAACGCAACATGAAGAAAGCCAAAACTATTTCAGATCAGGCCAATTTTTTATGCCGACTGCATTATTTTAAGTTGTTAATAAAATGTAAAGAAAAAGGATAATTTCCTGGGAAAAGAAGCATCTTCATAGCTAATTTATTACCTTTGACCGGGTCATTTGAGGTGTAAAAGTGAGGACATTGGATGACTCTTTTTTCCTCTAGTGCCTTTTGAACAGAGAAAACAGAATTTGTTTTAATTTTCCAGGAAAGGGGAAGGTTTTTTATTCACATTGTGGTGAATTAGGTTCACTCACTGGTGTATACTGACTGACTGTGGCATTCATTTTCCCTGCAGCAACCTGCTTTCCTTTTGGACTCCAGGAAACTGTGTTAAGGAAAAAAAAGGATGATTGAGCCTATAAACCTTTTTTTGTTGTTAAGAAAAGTAAACAAAATACAATTGACCCAAATGTAAGAAAAGGAGCTCAAAACCTCAGAAATTGTGTTTTAAGTGACACTTACTGCAGGTGATGCCACTTGTTGCAGGTAGTTGAGCTTGCACTTTGACAACATCTGTAACATCCAAAATCATCATGCTGCCATCAGACAAGCAGGCAGCCAACATGGACGGATGAACCGGATTCCACTTCAGGTCCTGCATCAAAGTACCAACATCCACAGCTGGCTGCACAGATGCAAATGGCATCTTTTGGGGGTTTGCCTAAAAATAATAAAAAGAGTAAGAAATAGGACAAAATAAGTTTGACAATAAAATACTTGGGCAAGAGCTAACTGTAAATTGGCACTTCCAAATGTGTAGATAACTTATTTTTTAATGTACTGTTCATCTTCATTTTATAGCTTGTCTTTAAGTTACGTGAGCCAGAATGCTTGCAAACTGCAATCAGTGAATCAAACAGTAACTTAATAAATACATGCATACAGATTCTAATTATTTTCCCCCATTTATTTCCTGGTCTGTTTGTTTTGGTGACCTCAGCAGAAACTGAAATAAAAAGTGAATGTTTAATACATAATAGCATTGTAACCACATGGACTAAAATGGTTACCTTGTTCAGGAATGTCCGGACGTCATAGAACGTAAGGGACAAACCCGCCTCCTCAGCTATACCACATACAGACAGAGTGAGTTCATCACAGCTGAGAGCCAAATGGTGCAAAGTCATCTCCACAGTCACCTCTGCCAGCGCTGCTATCCCTTTGACTAAAATACACCAAAAATAAGTATCAAGTTACACACCATCAGTGTAACGTTGAGGATAAAAAGTGAATCGAATCTGTATAGACGTTCTTACCGACTTCATAAGAGTTCCCATCAGCTTTATCAGCAGCAAGAATATCTTGAGTTAAGTACACTTTAAATGTTCTGTCAAGTCCCACAAATGTTAAACCAAACTTGTTTGAGATGGTCAACAGATTCGATCTGTCTTTAGGCATTGTGTCAGCAGGCTCAAAAACTTGGACTTTCTTCATCTGACGAAACTGGAAATCCTAAAACAAATGACACAAACAGGTGACCAATTAGAAGCCATATTGGAGTGTCTACAGCTGTGCTGAGGAGCAATTCAAAACCCTGGACACAATACTTGATATATAAACAAAACATAAAAAAACACATTTGATCTAAAAAAATAAAATAAATAAAAATAACATCTACAATATGCATACAACAGCAGGCATGATGCTTCACAAAACAAATATTACAAAAAGTAAACTAAAATAGAAAAAAAATGTTTTATTGATTTTCTCTGGAATGCACCTGTGGTTTTAACGATACTCATATATTTTCTAAACTATTTTTCCCAAAAATGGAATCTTCCAGTTTACGATTTCAGAAATATTGTTTTGGTTTCCTCACATTGGTTGTGTTGGTTAAACTGTTATCATGTTAAATTTTTTCTGTGTACAAAATAAATAAATGTAGCTCCTTTTATTTATTTATTTTAGTTCTTCTGTGACGTACTTGCAGTAAAACCAAAATTAAAAACTTCAAGTGACATGTCAAGAAGCAATTAGATTCTTGGTCGAAACTCTAAAATGGCCAAAAGGCAAGTCATATGATCGCTTTAAGTATAGTTCCTAATTTTTAAGCTTTACAAAGGAATGTGTATAAAATTGTGTTGACTGGTTAAAAGCAAATATATAATAGCTTAATTATACCAGCTGATACAAGAATGGTAGTTCTTAACGTTTTGGGAAAAACTGCTCTAATACATACTATATTTCAGTTTTATGAAATGTAATTAAGTATTTTTATGCTAGTGTTTTGTTTTTATTGTACAGAATAATCTAATAAAAGGTTTTCAATTGAATAGTATATAGACTATTGGGTCTGAAGATTAAAAACTGTCAGTGACTCCGTAAAAGAGCAAACAGTGACAAGCTTTTGATACTAGAGGTAAAACAAAACGATACATTTTAATGATTTTATTCCACACAGCTTTTCAGCCAAAAATGAAAGTACAGTAAATACTCCTACTCGTGGTTAGCTACTGTGCTAACACATAGCTAGCTACAAACCTAGCTGAAACAGTCCCAGCGGCTTTTAGTGAAACATTTAAACGGGTGTTCAAGTCCCTGGATATTGTCAAAGCCCATAATATATTTCATTAGGTACTAAGGGAAAGGTTTCCTAAACCATAGAACTTAATCAGCTCGCTAACTAGCTAAGCTAGTCACCACCGTAGAGAGGAAGTTGACGAATTTAGCATTCACGTGCTACTTTATCATAACAAGGGATTAAAAACAGCCAACCTTCATTTCCCTTTCTGGAGGGGTGTCCGTATCGTCGCCCATTTTGAGGAGTAGAAGCTACTGTCTATGCTAAATAGTTTTTGTATTAGTTTATTTCTTGAAAACGAGTATCTGAGACAAAGTTTAGACAGGCTACATGAGCGGATAGCTACGCAGCTGTTTATGATGTAGAAACTAGGCTAACAAGCAGATGCCAGAGCTTCCAGAAAGAAGACCGCATCGCATTAAGGCTGACGAGTAGAAGCCAGAACATTCAAACTCACTTTACATTACAAAAGGATGTCCACATGCATGCTCACTACAAAAGTTAAATATTAGTTCAGTATTTTTAAGTTACAATAGTTTGTTACAAAATCATAGCATCATTTTTATTGCCATCCTATTTGTAAAAAAAATAAAATAAATAAAATATATGACTTTTTGACTGTTTTTTGTAACTGTTGTCCATTGTTGTCATAATTCTTTGTTGAAATCAGGTCTCTTATGTAAAGGAGTCCTCAAGGCTCAATGGGATTTACCTGTCTAAATAAAGGTTGAATGAATAGCGCTCTTGAATGAGCTAAACATTTAGATATACATTTCTGTAAGGGTAATTTACAACATTTTTTGTCTCAGTTAACTACATTAATCTCACAACAGATTTGAGAGTAAGACTAGTAAAATTCTTAAAAATGAATGATGGTACTCTACATACAAACTGTTTACTGACACGTTTTTTTTTTTTACAAACGCTTAATTAATTAACGCATAATTAGATCAAACTGTATTTTTTTAATTCAACTTTGTGCATTTATTTGTAGCAAGACTTCACAATAAAGATGGATGTAATCTGTCTTTAGTTTTGTTTTATACCTTTAAAATATTTATCCTAATTTTATGTGTTTGTGCATTTCAACATACATAAACTTACATGGTGTTCTCTCCTGTGTGCAGTAATTTTTTTTTATGTCAACACAATCACCAAATGCACCCCTTCAGCAAGGACACAAAAAAACACTGACCACTTTGATGCGTGGTGAAGTAAGGACTTTTATTAGAAAGCAGCTTTTTTTTTTCTGTATTGCATTTTAAAGAAATCAGATACTCCTGGACTACATAACTTAAAAACTGATGACGGGAATGGAAGGTAGAGCCTTTTATGCAACATCAAAAGTGGCAACTTGCATTTCCATTATATATTATTGATGCTGGAGCCAGAAGGCGCATAAACATTTTAACATTTTTTTCTTTTATAAAGCAGAATCAACACTTGAATTGCCCCATTTAGGTAGGCTGCTGATAGTGAAGAACAATACTGTGATCAAGGTGTACAGTTGCATGACGAGATCTTTTTTTTTGTTTTGTTTTTTTTAACATTTGCATTGTTGTCCATATTCTGGTTTCCTATAAGCCCAACGTCAGAGCCGAGACAGACATGGTCCATGCCGACATGAGACAACTCTGTTCATGAAGCACCAAGATTTGAGTCAGTCCTTGCTGCAAAGACGCACACTTATAACCAAGAAAGATAACATCACATCCCTCCATTCTGGAAAGCAAGCTATAGCAGACCAAAGCAAGCCAAAGAAAGACAAAGCAAACAGCAAGAGCACACACAGCGAGTTGTCACATCTCCCATAGTGCACTGTGGGTCTCATCCCTTTTCTGATTGTCAGCGCTCTGAACACATGGCTTTAAAAGTTGCATTTACTCCTCTTTAGCCCATACAGTTAGTCACTCATGATGTTTCTCTCATTTCCAAGTAAAGTGCTGGCTTTATGTTCAAATTTGCAAACATACACATACAAACCTTTAGTGCATTTTTTTTTTCCGAGTCTACAAACAATTCAAATGCACACTCAATTGGGTAGTTAGTATTCCACTCCTAGTCAGTATTTTGCTGTCATTTTTACAGGAGATCACACTTTTTGCAAACATTCAACAAAAGGCCGGGGCTCATGATAAACACACGGCCCCCCATTCACCGCAAGACTCGTCAGTCATTGCTTGTTAACAGTGATGACAGTTATTCAGCATAAAATACATGGTGCATAAAGATCAGAGGTTTCATAGGGTCAGGGTGAGCATCTGAATGGCATGCATTTTATGATACAAGTGTCACTTTGCATATCAATGTATAGTTTCCAAGAAACCCCCCCGAAATAAATAGTGCTCATTTATTTTACAGTAACGGTGGGGGTAAGCTGAGCCCTATGTAAGGTTTCTGAAGCCCAAAGGAATTCATTGAGAAAACTGTTTTACAAACAACAGCCTTCATCATTATTTCTGGCTTTTTGTGATCTGGGGTTTGCAGATTCCCCGTTTCAATTTAAATATCATGTAAAGCCATCTAACAAGGTTGAGTCAGGTCCTCTGGACTGATTCTTCTTTGTTGAATGGTTTGTCTTTTATCCATAAGACTTACTTGGCACTGCTACTTCAGTACTTCGAAGGACAATAAGTATTTTGAACAAAAGACGAAACGTTTCAACAAAAAAGGATCCACCCAGAGGACCTGACTCAACCTTGTTAGATTGATCTACCTGGATTATTGAGCATCAGGGCATGTAAAGCCATCTTTACCACTCAGTCACCTTACATGGAGCTTGCTCTCACAAAAGTTAGCCATGCCATTCTCTAAGAATTTCTCAGCTTATAGTGCAACTTCACTCCGTTTTCCCTGTGCAAGGAAATCAAAACAGACCTTAAGAGACCACACCCCTCAACAAAAGCAAATCAAAAAGCAAACAAACTGGTTGAAGCCGACATTTAAAGAGGAAGACAAGTGAACAAACTGGTTTGACAAAGCATCAGTGACATTGTATTCAAATTTTCAGCATGTTGTTATTTATATGCAAATGTCTCACTGCTTTAATTCAAATAGCTGCTGAATTAAATCGCTGACATTAGTATGGCGAGTTTATGATCAAACTTGCTTTCTGCTTAAAATGACAGGATGGAGAGCATTATGTTGATACATGTAAATAAAATAGTGAAGATCATAAGAGGCGGTCTGAAAACCTGCTTATAATCTAATTATCTACACCAGGGTCGTTGATTTAGTTTGTATATGTAGAATAATTATGGCACACACCCACACTTTTACAGTCTAAGGCACTGCTCCAAACTCCCTTTTTTTTCTTGTTCACCACAGATTCCTTCAATTTTCTCTTTTATTACAAACTGAACTGCAGGTTTGTATAATTCCAAATACATCTGCGCGTAATTTCCTTGTTCTGGCATCATTTTAATAAAACAATATTATTAATTTAGATCTAAGATTTTCTGCATCTTTCCTGTTTCGGTTTAAAGGTGACTGGTTTATAAAGTGGCAAGTACTTATACATATACATTTTACTGGAAAAGTAAGACAAAACTGGAAGTAATTAGGATTAAGTGGATCCAACAGACAAGAGAATATCTTTATTTTCTTACAAGAGCAGTGTTTGGTGAATAAACTAAAAAATATATAACTTAATTTTGTAATTTCAACATTAGATACATATATAATTGTTGAGTTCAATGGAAAATAAACAACACTGGGAAAAAATTCCCACAAAGTATTTAAACTCACATTTTTACACTTTTTTATGGAGACACTCTCTACTACACTGGAAGACCTGTTGGCATTAGTTTGAACATTTTGTTTTGGATAAGAGCATTATCCAGCCATGTTGTCAGTAAATTTGAAAGGTTTGTCAATTATGAGCCACATGTTTGGCAAAAGAAAAGATATTCTATCATTTACAGTTAAAAAACAAAAGGACACCTTCACCAAAGCAGTGCTACAGTTTACATTCATCCATCAACTTGGCCGTTCTGTCATAGCCCTGGATCTTCTGTGTGGTGGATCACATTTTTTCCAGGAGAGAAAGAAAGAAAATGTAAACTTCATCAACTAGTGCAAACACGACCCTGTGTTTCTTGTGCAGGGCCATTTTAAAGCTTACCCTAAAGATACTTAAGAGGACAGACACTTGGGAGGCAAATCTGGCCCAAACTTCGAAATGGCACATCACTGAAACGTGAATACAGATCAAATATACAGTTGGGGGGGAGTGGGGTGCGCTGCACTTAATTTGTGCATTCCCATCTGCAGAAAAAAATAAGTAGATTTTACTTTCAACCATTTCAGAGATGGCCATGTTTCCACAATAGCTAAAAATGGCTTCCGGTTCAGTATCCGAAACAAATGGTCTGCTCTTGTGATTAGATGCACTTTCACTGCAGACAAAACCAAAGCAAGAGGGGAAACATTCACCAGCAAATTGTTTAGCACATGAAACTCCAAAGAAAGAAAGGCTGTTTGGACTGTGTCCATATCGTGGCAACAAACATTAAAACAAGCATTAAAAAGTGTGACCAAAGCATGGCTCTTCTCCCCCATCAAAAACATAGAAACAGTGATCATCAGAAAGACCCGTTGTTTTCATCTTAGCCCACAAACCGCCTGATTAGTAGGTAATCAGGATAACTTGGTGGTAATTTGCAGTCTTTGCAGGCTCGTCTTTTGCTCAACCCCTCAGTTTCCCCTCCACTCTTTATCCTTCTTAAGTGCAAATGCAATAAGCCAGCATACATTGCTCTTAAAAGTCTAATAATTTACCCACCCACCCGTTTTCCCCACAAGGACAAAAAAAAAAAAAAAACCAGGATGGAAGCAGAACTGTGTAGTCTCAGCATATATCACACCACTTCCAAGGTGGAAGAGTGCTTCTCTCTGGCATTTTTTAATACTTCTAACGCTCAGTGTAGTGCACTTCCTCTCTCTGCTCCATGTATTCATTCTCCTCTTTTTAAGGTGACAGCACACGCTGTAGCTAAAACACAGGGATTCGAAAACTCATAATGTGCACAGTCAACCCTCGACTGCACCAAAGCCAGTTTTAACAATCTGTTAAGACTGAGGTTGAAGCCCAGAATAAAAATGGAGAAAGTCCTCCTGGTTTTAACGGCATAGCTCCAAGCAACTGTAGCTGTTATCTTATTTAGATGCACGACTGTGGCTTTGCTGCAGTTTTCACTAATTGTTTGGAATAATGCATGCAAGTCTTGACTTTAGTACATGTTATTGTTCTTGTTTTGTTTCATCAGAATGATAAAATCTAAAACCTTTTTTTTTGCAGTGTTCAAAAGCAGTGCAACTTCTGGACTCTTTATGTTATATAGAAACGGCAGGTGTGTGTAAATCTGCATGTGTGATGTTGGGAGGGGCGGTCTGGAGCAGACACAGGCATCGCGTATTGAATTTGATATGTAATGGTAGGATATGCATAACAAAAATAAATAAAAGTGATATATTTGTTTTGGGATTTCGAAGCAAAGCTTAGCATATTCTTTACCATAAATGTGACATGCTGTTTGTTAAACGGTGTTATCACAGTACACACATTTTTACTGTAATACTGCTTATGATCATAAAGATTACCGGTAGTTTGATGTCAAGTGGGCAAACATAGTAAACATGGCTCTTGTTAACGAGCCATGTCTCCTAAATGTTGGGTTGTTCTCGGTTGCAGTTTTCTAAACTAAAATTAATAAAATGGTTTTTCAAACCATTACGCCAACTGCAAGCAAAGCTGCTTTAGCTGTTGTACTCGGTGACGTGATGAATCATTACAGCTGTTTACAATGCAGTGACATCTTTGTTACATAGCAGCAGAAGCCCAAATACCAAGTGCCTAGTCAAAAGATAAATGAAGGGGTGTATCAGAAAGTTTGTTTTTCTGAATCGGCCATGCCTGTGTGCACTTCTACTGTCAGTGTTTTCCTTCTCCTATTGGCAAGAATGTGAGCCCACACAAGTGCATGCATGTGTGGCAGGTTTCTGGTAATAGGATTTAGGGAGTGCAGCTTTTGTGCTGGAAAACTCCTGTTCAGGAAGCACAGAGGAGAATGAGTGGAGGACAAGATGCTAGCGTTAGAGAGCGAAAAGAAGAAAAGGTTTCACAATTTGAGATGCATCCCAAAAAGACATTCACTGTCCGTTCACCCTCAGGTCTTGTTCAAAACCTTCCACATCCTGCTTAGGTGGCGTGACGCCTGCCTCACCCACTGTGACTAACAGCGGCGCCCCCGGTGATCCGTCTACACCCTCCAACCCAGCTTCATCCTCGTCTTCATCCTGTTCTTCTTGAACTGCTGCCTCCCCTTCACCATCAGCCTCGGCTCCAACCACGACAGAGCCAGGGCTGCCGTCTGTTTGAGTCCTGTGAGGGTCCTTGCGATCCAGATACAACCTTTGCTCTAGGGCCTTGAAGTCATGCTCAAAGGGGAGGGGCACTCCTGATTGAGGGGCACTCAGCGCCAGGCTCAGACCTACACCAGCGCCCATGCCCATCCCTGCACGATACACTTCCATGCCATCAGGCAGCATGGACTTGATCTTGGGCAGCCACCTCTTGCGGACGCGCCTTGCATTTGTGCACATGTCAGCAGCAATCACATTCATTTCACTCTCCTTGAAGTTTGGGTTGAAGTTTTGACAGTACACTGGAAAAGAAAAAAAAAGAAGAAAAAACATCAAGAGAAGCTGCACAAATTCTCCGCCATATTTCAGACAATCTGCACAATATAACCTACGTTTGACAGCGTTAAGGACTCTGCTGTCCAGGGGTTTCCTACTTGGGTCACTCGTAGAAGAACGGATGCCTGTCCCGCAGCTATTGGCCAGAGTGTTTCTGCAGGAACACAGAGTCAACACCAGGGGGCAGAGTCAGCAGCAGCTATCCACAGTGCATGAGATCAGCATGGAAACATACACAACTATCTGCATTGCACAACATGGCCACAGATGGAGTGTGAAAGTAGCTTTGTGAGAACAGCAGCAGTGTTGAAGTCCTGCACAGATCACAGACTAATGCACACATGCACTTGTATTTATACTCACCTGTCAAAAAATGTGGCTAAGAGACGGCGAAGCAAGACTTTGTGTTTGATACCGGCGCATAGATGACAGTTCATCAGTTGACCTCGTGTCATGAACACTTGGGTACCTGTGTGGCATGAACAGAAAAGCAATTGCTTATGATGCTATATGCTACTGATTTGCTATCAATGCCTCATTTGTTCTGGCTTCAGTTCATGTTTTAGTTATTAAGTCTTTAAACAAATTAAACAAAGAGTCAGCAGCTTAAACTAAAATCAGAAACTGAGAAAAGGATGGTAGTAAATTGGCATTCAACACTCCTTTCTGTACTCATTACATTCTACTATTGGCAAGATGATGAGAAATATAAAGTACTGTATTTTTTGGACTATAAGGCGCATTAAGCGAAACAAGTTAATTTTGACAGATTTTTGAGCGCCGTGTACCATATTAAATTGGTTAGAGGTCAGTAAGCACAACCAGAATTAATGCATAAGGTGCATCTGATTATAAGGCTCACTGTTGATTTTTGAGAAAAATAAAGGATTTTAATTGCGCCTTATAGTCCGAAAAATACGGTACAGATCTTTATTATGATTTTTCTTGTTTCAAATTAAAATGAGTTGTGCAATAAATGGATTTGATTGTGTAATAACTTTATGATCTCTGGTAACAACCTAAAAAAGCCCTATGGCTCCGTATTTATCAGAAAATTACAAGTGCGTCATTTGAGCGTCAATACTTTTGCCAGAAACAATTTATTCCTGAATAAATGTAACTTTTTTTTGGCCGCACCCCAATGACGAGACTGCGTTCTGTACATGCTGAGCCGTACATTCTCATTGAAAGTTGCTGTTGTGACCGCTAAGAGCAATATCTGACAGCTGGACCACAACATGCACTTTTTGTCTAATCATACATTTTTCCACTCACGCTCTCTCTGAGTTCTGTAAGGGCCATTTGGCAAACCCCCGGCAGGCAGTCATATGCTTTTCACTTCCGACTGACTTCTATCTAGACACTCTTCCATAAAGGCCTGATTGATGACAACTGCAGAGATCGTTGTCCTTGTGTCACAGTCCTAAATCTCCTCGAAGAAACTCCGCAGCTTTGTTTTATTCCTTTCAAACAGTCTGAGGCAATGACATGGGTTAAATCCATTATACAAACCAATCTGAATAACTTAATGCACACCATTTGTGCTTCTTGACCTTCTTCTGGCCTCTGTGTGAACGTGTACAAGATACCACTTTAGCTCAACAGCCTTTCAATTTGTGAGAGGAAGCGAATTTATTGGTGCTGACATCTAAATACAATTTAATCCAAATGTAGATTAAAATGTATACAAAATGACGAGAGTTTAACCTCCAACAGCTTGGAGAAAAACTATCCAGTTCATGCTCGGCTTTTCCTCAGATGTATATAAAAAGTCTGCTCAGCAGTGATGAAACCTTCTAACATCCTGAGTTTATTAGTTCGATACAATATCAGGGAAATTTAATTTTACAGGTATTGATTTTTAATCTAAATTAAATGTGCTGCCTCAAACTACTCTTGGAATTAGCGCATGAGAAATGTTTGTTAGCAAATGTGCACGAGTGAACGCGTTTGCCTACCAGCGACCAACTCCAGCTTCTCTCCAGGGTCCCCCTCGGTGTAGAGCTTAGGGTGGCAGCGGTAGCCTATCTGGTTTATGAGGCTCGCAGGCAGAGCCACCAGGTCTCTGCGGATCAGGACACAGTTGCGATTCTCTAAGGTCAAGGGAACCGCTGCCATCTCTGTCTTGTCTTGAACTAATGAAGTCAGAAACAAACAATAAAAAAAAATAGTAATTTCTTTTTAAACCGTCACCGAACAAAAACGTATACACCACAGGCATACACTTCACTTCCTACCATCTAACTCATTATCAAAATAAAGCAATCATAAATTAATTAGTACAGCAGGTTGAGGTAATACGATGCAAGTTTGTTGTGTTTCATAAATGTTTTAGACTACTGCAGATGTATCGCAGATAAGTCAGGATGCGGCATAAGTAATATGAGTTGTGGAGGGAAGGGGGGTGGTATCCAGAATGGGTGTTGGGTTCTTCCACCCAAAATGTTTTGTCCTAACCTCTAAGATGAGTTGGAAGCACACACAAACATCACATCTCACAGAGGACAAGAGAAACTAATACACTGATTCAAACACGTGCACATAATTGAAAATGACGATTAATCTTTATATGTCTGAAGACATCTCTATCACACACACACACGTTCTCGTAATTGTACTTTGCAGGGACTCTGCATTGACTTCCATTCATTTCTATAGCCTAACCCTGACCCTTACCCTAAAACTAACATTACTAGTACAAGCCTAACCCTAACCCATCCGCAATTCACAACTTAGTTCTAAACCTAACCTCTAAACCCCCAACGAGACTTATCCTTATGGGGACCAGGCTTTGGTCCCCACAATGTAGGATTTTTTGTAAAATTGGTCCCCACAATGTAAGCTGAAACAAAAATGCACGCGCATACACTCACACATGCAGGAAAGATGTGTGTGTGGCTCTCAAATATCCAACAATGTCACCCTGCGGAGCTCTGACTGATTGCAGATAGAGTGGATTTCATCAATTTCTGAAACCCTAGAATCCAACAAAGACGTGTCATGCCTTCCAGCTGAAGGGTTTGAAGATTTATAGAGAATCTGAGCACATTTATTGTGTCAGTTCTGTGATTGTGATTTTCCTGGAATGTGAATGCAAACACATATACGCACTCACAAAAATGTATCTTATGCTTGTGTGAGTAGAGATTTCTACATCAGCGTGAAATTATGGTTAAAAGAAATAAACGTTCTAAAATGCAATGCAGACCAGCTGCCATGGATGTGATGACACCTGTGTTGTTGGTCACTGTGCACACGGATGGCTTTTCCATAAGGCTATCTTTAAGCTGAGAGGACCCACACGCACTTAGGAGGCACCACGTCTGTTCTTCCAAGATATGAAGAATAAACGATTTATGAAAGATAAAATAATGTAAGTGGGATAAAACAAACGTACTTTTTTGCTTTTGTCTGATCTGTGGCAAGTCTGGACACACTGTACATTTATTTTTTGCAAGTCATGTCGAGTTTGGTCTTAAATTGGTCTGATATCAAATTAATTTCCAACATCAGCCGCGGACAGATGACCAAGTAATGCACTTACAGTAGTAGGAGCAGAAAGATAAAATTTGATATCAAAATATGACGGTGAACGTCTGGGAGTCCTTGATTTGAAAACAAAGAGCTAGGAGTTAAACGCTGAATCCCATTTCACCTCTTCCCCTTGTTTCGACAGTCTGTAGGTTTAATAGGAATCGACATTAGATTTTTGGCCGATATGCTAAAACTTATTTGGCCGATAACCGATACCAATACTGATTTTTTTCCGTCCTAGGCCTACTTACAGAGACTACATAGCTTTCTCTGCTGTGGAATTAAAATACTACATTATTCCTTATGGCCTTTGTCAGTTTGGGCTGCTACCAAATGTAGATGCTAAAAAGGGGGATGAAAATTATTTAACAGTTCAACTTGGATTACGTTTAATGCCAAATTTATTCATGACATTTACTTTAACACAATGACAACACTTGAACAGTGCAAATTTGTACATTTTCACAAATCTAAACTCAACGGCGCACGTGACGTCATAGTGTTGTACTGGCACTGCAGGCATCCTTGTCACTGGGTGGTCATAAAAAAACAGCGTCTTTTATATCGGTGAGTTATTTGGATGGAATGGCCAATGTCCAATATTTAACTTTATCGCTAATATCGTCCGATACTGATACTATGCCGATAATATTATGCATCCCTAATGTTTAATGAAGGGGGTTCTGTGATGTAGGAGAAGGGGTAAGACTCTTCAAGAGCATACTTCAAGCCAAGTGTGTGAGAGCTGCTCTTTCACAGGAACTACACATTTAGATATACTTTGTAAACAATTAGAGCTTTTTTTTTTTTTTTTACATAAAGAAGTATCAGAAATACTGTCTGACGAAGACAAATTCCTGAATTTGAGATGCAATATATAAACACCCCCACATAAACCTATGTATAACTAAAAAGAGTAACACTTGACTGAGATTCTTAAAGCATACTATAATACTCACTTCCATAGGGGTTAGCTGAACGTCCATAAATGTGACTGTAACCATCCTCAGTGATACCATCATATGGCTCTTCTTCAAACTCCTCATCCTCGTTCTGGTAGGATGTGGGACTGTCGGTGGTGGGCAGGCTGGACTCTCCTGGACTGGATCTTTCACAGCTTGTTCCTCCTCCCGCTCCTCCTCCACTGGTTCCTTGAAATGGGAAAGAAGGCATGCCTGGAATGGGGGTCCCTCCAGCCGTTGTGTAGAAGAGCGAGGTGGCCCTTGCTAGTCGGCTCCCTAACTCTGATGTTGACAGTTTGCTTGGGGTTGAGGGCATTGAAATTGGTGTTGGATCGTTGCCCTCTAGTTTAATCTTGCGCTGCGGGATGAGTAAGGATGCTGTAGACCAGCTTGAGGTCCCCAAAACTGTAGCCACAGAAAGGCTGTTGCTATTATTAAGAGGACTCTGTGGCTCAGATCCTGTTTCTTCCAAGGATCCTGCAGTTTGCGAGTCACAGTGAGGTGAGTTTGCCTTGAACATTAGGTCCATGCCCTTTTCAACTATGTGCTGAATCTGGAGGTAGCCAGCTGTGTACATGACAACCAGCTGTTCACTTGCTGCCATTGTTAGCTTCCCTGTATAACAAAAACCCAGGATCTGCTCAAAGCAAGCAGGGGTGACTGAGGAAGGCAACTCAAACTGGGTCTTGGTTGAGCTGCTGAAGAGGTCACGAAAGTAGAGGCTGCTGGCAGCCAGAACGGCCCTGTGGGCTTTAAAAGCCTGGCCTGGTTTGAAAAAAGAAGTTGAGAATATTGATTTAAACACAAAGTCATAGTTTTAAAAAATCCCCAGAATTTATAGTAACTCACCTTTTACCAGTATGGATACATCACAGTATTGTCCCAGCAGACGCTGCTCATTAAGGGAACCCAGGACTGTGGCTCCAAAATTGGGGATCTCCACTTGGAGCAGCTGGGCCATATTGGCCACAGAGGGAGGCTTTCAGATAGTCGCTGCAGTCTCTGCCACCGAGAGAGGCATCTGTACAACCAAAACAACAACAACAGAAGAAAAAGAATGTATGGGAGCTTGTTTGAGAAAAGCAGCAAACTACTGAGTAAATAGAAAACGTGTGAGAAATGAAGGTAGAGAGGAGAGAAGCAATAACTGAGAAGAGGAAGCAAGGAGTTGGAATTAAGCGAGAAAATGAATGCCGTTGAGGGAGAAGTGAGAGGAGTGTGAAAGAAAAGATGGATATGTGAAGATAGTGGGTGAGAGATTGAGACAGGAGAGAGGAAGGAGGAGCTAAGTCACTCCACACACACAGGAAAAAAAAAAAAAAAACAATGCCGTGCCTACTGTAAGTGTGTGAAATGTTGTGAAACGTCTTAAGGCTATGTTGTTTAACATGACTTGAATACCAGGAAACCTTGACGCGTTCCAAGAACTGCATTTAACGCCTCGAAAACAGTTTTCCAACCTCGTGGACTTTGGTGGTCATGAAGTTAACCTTGACAACTTTTTTCAGCAACAAAACAAAACTCTAGTTCTTTCTGTCAAGAGTTCAGATCCTACTTCATTTTGCTGACTCTAAACTTTTTCATTGTCAGCTTTTCCTATTTTTTTTCATAGAAAGTTCCTTGAAATCCTTCGCAGCACATTCTCCAGGAATATCCGCACCTTCGTTACTTCCATGAACCTTGTATCATTGTCTTTGCCCCCACCCCAACGCATGCACACACATACTTAAACACACCAGTTTCATTATTGAGCAATGCTGCAGAACAGTTTCCAGGAATACAAACTGAAAAAATGTCACCGCCTCTTTAACACACAAACACACACAGTCTCTCTCTATACAGACACACATGCACTGGCTTACTTACATAAAAGTGTGCATGCATAAATCAACACACACACGGAGTAGGCTGTATAGGGAAATTACTGTGTAACCTGGCACCCAAGCCCTCACCTGGAGAAACCAGTGCATAACTTTCCTCTGCTAGCATGCACAAATATGCCCACCAGTTAGCCCAGACAGTTCTGACCTGTGTAAAGCCAGTCTTCTGTTTCAAACACACCATGGAGACTTGTCACACACAAGCACGCCAGCAAGAGTCAGGAGCAGGACGAAGGTGGAGTAGTTTCAGACGGAAGGAGAGCACTCTGACGTTCTCCGTCTGGCCAGCTCTCTCTTTCACTTAAAGTGTCATTCCCGCCGTCTCGAAGATCTCTCTCTGCTTTCTGACTGATTTTTCTCTTCCTGTCTCTAAATCCTCCTATAACCCATTCTCTCTGCTGCTCACTGTCTCAAAGCCTCCCTCTGCCTCCTTGTCATCATCTCTCTCTGCTTCGCTCCCCTCTTTTCTATTCTCCAAGGGCTGTATTCAACAAGTGCCGCCGCACAGTGGGAGAAAGAGAATAGGAAGGAGGGAGCAAAGGGAGGAAGAAAAAAAAAACAGCAAGCAGAGCACAGCGAATCAATGATGAAAGGAGTGGGAGGCTCGGTGCGTGCGTGTGTGTGCGCGTGTGTCTGATCAATGCAGTATCTATACGTCGCAGGGAGTGGGAGGGAGAGAAAAACACGAGCTACAGTTACAGACTGAGACAGAGACTGGGCAGAGCTGGAGAACGTCCGAGGAAGGGAGGGAGGGGAGAGTTGAGACAGAGAAAAAGTCATTTCAGGACAATACGAAAAGAGAAAGTCAATTAGGTTGAAGCAACTTCTGCCCCTTGACACAGATGTCTATATGGTGTGATAGAAAAAGGGAAGGCGTATGACTCAAGCAGCAGAGAAATGAGAAAAGCCTGCAGAGGTCATAAAAACCGTTAATTTATTAGACAGCAAATAGTGAAACTTCGAAAATGCCGCTTTGACGCAAGTCTGGAGAGAGTTATTCCCCTGGTAACAGAGTTTTAGCAAACCGGAAGCTTTTAAGTGGACAATGTAGAGAAAGTTTTCAGAAAGGTTTGTTCCACTTTTAAAGACAATCGTGGAAATAAAAGAAGAAGAAAAAAGAAGAGGTTTTACTTTTGAGCAAGTGTTTTGTATGTTCTCTGAATCACACCAAAGACATCTCTGCCAAACACCTACACACAACCAGACACCCAAGAACTGTCTTCACGAAAGACTATTTTGCACATGAATTAATTAACAAATGATTAATTTACACACCTCCATGTTTGTAGCTCAGCCTATTTGGGGTGTCATTTTGTTGTTCCTAACATAACTTTTTTCTTTTTGGACGAAACATGAGACCTCTGTAAATAAAATAAAAAGGACGGAAGCAGGATGTTGCAGCCTTGGTTATCAGAAACACAACTACTATCCAAGAGGGTACGTTCTGCAAAGATGTGCGGGGGAAGGCTACAAATGTAAAACTGCTGTGACGGATGAGTAAGAGATTTGTAACTGTATTTGTGTGGACATAAAAGTTGTGTAATTCTTACATGTCAGGGTTTAAAAAACACAATGAAAATAGCTCTCCAACAGAGGCACTGTGTTCTGAGAGATGAGAGCACTCGTTTACACAAAATGACCTTCAAAATCTCACTCTATCTTTTTACCTTTTGTAATCTGCAGTCTTTTAAAAGATAAAAAGCTGACGCAGAGCTTTGTTTGAAAAAAAAATATATATATATATATATCTGAGCATGTCCCTAGAAAGAATCAAGACTCACTGAGTTCATTCCTTGCCAAATGGAGAAAGTTGTGCTAAACTGAGCAAACTTTTGCTCTTCAGTCACAGCGGAAATATGAAAGTGAGGATATCACAAAGGGGCTGAGCACAGTGAGTCAGACTATAGTTTTGAGAGCTTTGCCACAGCGGCGTGATATCTGCACGGCACATATAGGCACACATGAGTGAGCACACACACACTAAAAAAGCTCAGAGAAACAAATCCGCAAACACACTAATGCAAACAGACACTCGCTCCCCTGCTCTCCTAAACACACGCACAACACACAGTCAGGTAATCTCCCTGTGCACACTCAGCAGTACACATTCTGTTAGTCTGTTGGTCCCTCTGGGAAACCTGCCAGACTGCTTGTCCATCGGTCCGTCCGATGGTTATTGTTACTATTGTGTCCTTACATTGCCTCTTGCTCCCCACCACCCCTCTCCATTTTCTCTACCCTTCCCATCCTGCATACCACGAACCCACTGTCTCTCTGCCAATTAATGCACACAGGGCTGCATTGCAGTGAGGTTGGCGCGTGCCACAGCAGCGAGCACAGTACAGAGTCTACAGACATGCATGTACGTGCCAGCCAGGCAGAGCAAGAGGGTGGGGGGGGGGGGGGGGAGTGGAAAAGGGAGGGGGAGAAGAGAGAGAGAAAGCAAAGGAGAGTGAACGGGGAATATGTTGAGTCAGGCAGACAGGACAGTGGTGTGCCACATATACACACATTCAGAGCTGCATATTCTTGTAAATGTATGCACGAATATATTAAAAACAGATTCTGAGCAAAAAAAAAAAAGTGAGAAAACTTCACACGGACATGAAAGCACCCCCCCCCCCCATACACACACACACACACACCAACATGCACATGCAAATTCCAGCCTGCATTAAATATAGACTTTGCACATCCCTGATAGAAAAATATAAGGCATGAACTCCCTCAACTTGTTTGTCTTACAAACCAATATGTATATATTTAGTGTGCCCCGATTCCTGATGAGTGTTTGCCATCCCCTGTCAAAAGTTTCTCGCACACCAAGGCGTGTTTTTATATCTGTCATTATATACACGGCTGTGACTTTTGGCACTCTGCATCAGGCGAGTGAGTGCAGACGGTCTGTGAGATTAGACCGCTGTTCTAATTACGTTTGTCTGCTTTCATTGAACTGTCTGTTGTAATCAAGGATTTATAGTACCTATGCACACGTATAATTAGGTGAAGTACCAGGTTCGGATTCATTTGGGTAACATGAAGCCATAGGGCAAACAGGCTCACACACAAATTTTAGTTACCAATGTCTAAATGGCAATACTACTTGTTTTCACCAATTTAGACTAGTTTAAATAGTTCAGACAAGTAAACCTGCACTATGCATATAACAAAACTTAACTAAACATTAAAAATATACCTCATCAAGGCCCAGAAAATTAAGAAAATCAACTAATAACTCATTCAAAGTGCAGCAATGCATAAAAAAATGCAACAAAAAGAAAATTTGAACATGAGCTGATCAGGAGCACATCCTTCCTCTCTTGCCGACGTCGCCTCTATACGTTCCCAATATGAACAGTCCCCTTGTTATAAATATTCAGATCCTGCAGTTGTTCTCATGTCTAAAGTGTACCAGACAACAGATTCTATCCACGTTGAGACAGCAACGCTCCCTGGCAACAGTTCTACCAATCCAGAACAAGCGGGCGTCTGCCTGAGTCTGTCTGAGTGTCATTATGGGATGTCGGGAGAGAGAAAGAGAAAGAGAGGCTGCTTATCACGGCTTCTAACAGTAGCCTTATACTAGCAAAATTGAGGGGAAAAATAAAAGTAGTTTTAAATAGGGTCCCAGCAAGAGGTTTCTAAATGGAATAAAAATAAAAAATAAAATAAAAAACTTACTCCACTGCAACCTCTCCTACTTTGTATTACAGACTTTGCTGCAATTTAAAACAGCAAATACTGCTTCATTCCTGTAATATTACAGCTGATGTGTCACAATGCTAATGCCAGAGAGGGTCTTAAGCAACAAAGTTGCAGATTTACATGGTAATGTCACATTCAGCTACTGTGAAACACCAGCTGCCGAAACCTTGAACTGTGGTGTGTGCAGGCTGCTCACATCAAAACTTTCTCTTCACAGAAACAGTTACACCTGCACTTGATGGTGAAAACTACAGCTCAGGAAATAGGTGGGTATGGCAAGTCGAGACGCCATTATATGAGATTCCCAGACTTCTGTGGTCAGTGACTCGTGTGCAACACACAGTATGCACAGGAATGAAGTGGGTGAGTCGAATACTGACATGGATACGATGCAGCTTCTTATTATGAACACAGTTGTTTGAAAACTGAAAAGACTAAAAAAGAAGGGCCACCAGTTAGTTTTATTTATTCAGATGACGATGCAAATGTATTATTTACAATTTATTTCTAAGAGAATCAAATATAGAACCAGATAAAGTTTAATTTTCTACTGGTACATTATTCACTTATTTAAAAGGCAGCTGTTTTTACACTACAAAAAGTAAAACCAAACAACGGAAATCTACCTGCCACATTAGAGCAGAAAAATAAATTGCCACCAATGACAGAGAATAGAAACTAGCAGTGGTGGGCACAGCTAACCAAAAAGTTAGCTTTGCTAAACACTAATTCACTAACTAAAAAAAATTAGCTTTGATACCGCAAAATGACTAAACAGATTTAAAAAAATTAGCGGAAGCTAATGCTAAAGCCCTGAGCGGCAAAAGTGGTTAAATAATGTCATCCGGACCTGTTTCTTTAAGTGAAGAAATGTTTCGTCCCCCATCCAGAGGACTTCGTCAGTCTGCGGCTTGCCAACCAGATCTGTCCAATAAGTAGCCTTCATTGCAGTGTTGCGTTTCTTCACTTAAAGAAACAGGTCCAGATGACACGATTTAACCATTTTTGCTGTTATCTACCTGGACGATTGAGCTTACAAAACTTTTTGCTAAAGCACTAACTTTTATACACTGCTGTTGCCGACACTGCAAGATTGTCTGTAATGTGACAACGTTGTAAGTAAACACAACTCAGTTAAAATGGTCCATAAATAACAAGTCCATGTCCCGTTCAGAGGTGAGTTTTCAGAAATTAATCCAGTCCATCAGAACCAAAGAGGCGGAGCAGAACTCAGCTGTGCTGAAGCAGAGTGATGCATTCAATGTGTGTCGAATGGCTCCCTCGTGTCATTTACTATCCTTGTGGTTCGAAAATAAATCTGTTTGTATTAAAGTAAAGATGTGTGACATGTGTGAGAGAGTCACGTCCCAGAGACGGAGCGAGCATTGCAAAGCATGATGGGTCGGAATTATGTGTGTAATGTTTGACTGTTTACGATGTTCATGAGTGTGAAGGGTTTTCATCTTGTTTGGTATTATTTAATTTATCAGTGTTTCCCCTAGTTAGCTTGCCATGGCGGGGTGCTCATGTCATCCATGATTTTTGCTGATATGGGGGGTGGGGGTGGGGGGGCAAGTCTGAGCGCAGCTTTTACTACCAGTTTTTGAGCGGGGGCGGTGGGCTTTCAACATGAGGGAAGAGGCAATGTGAGTGCTACCTTTGGCTTTTTAGCTGGAGAGCCTGTATTTTGTTCTGCTAGCTTAGTGATATGTCAGTGCCGGGTTGGGGTGGGTGAGGCAAGTTCAATTTGGTAGGTGGGGTGCTCAGTTCTGTTGACGGGGTGGGGCACCCCGCCTGTA